AAAAAAAAAAAAAAAAAAAAAAAAAAAAGAATAGGGCTGGTGGTGGAGGAGGGGATAGAGAAAAGGAAATAGATGAGACAGAAAAGGAGATAGAAAGGGAGACAGAGAAGGAGATAGAAAAGGAGATAGAAAAGGAGACAGAAAAGGAGATGTAAAGGGAGATAGAGGAGACAGAGAAGGAGATAGAAAAGGAGACAGAAAAGGAGACAGAAAAGGAGATAGAGGAGATGGCAGAGGAGACAGAAAAGGATACAGAAGAGGAAACAGAAAAGGAGACAGAAAAGGAGACAGAGAAGGAGACAGAGGAGATAGAAAAGGAGACAGAAAAGGATACAAAAGGAAACAGAAGGAGACAAAAGGAGACAGGAGACAGAAGGAGACAAAAGGAGACAAAAGGAGACAACAGGAGACACAAGAGGAGACAGAAAAGGAGACAGAAAAGGAGACAAAAGGAGACAAAAGGAGACAGAAGAGGAGACAGAAGAGGAGACAGAAAAGGAGACAGAAGGAGACAGAAGAGGAGACAAAAGGAGAGAGGAGACTGACCTGGGTGTCTCTTAACCAATTCCTCGTAAAGCGACTTTCTTAGCATCCGCAGCTGCCGCACCTTCCCCTCTATCAGAAACACAGCAGCAGCAGCAGCAGCAGCAGCAGCACAGCGGCAGCAGCAGCAGCAGCAGAAGCAGAAGCAGCATTAACAAGAGCAGCAACAGCAGCGGCAGCAGGAACAGCAGCAGCATCACCACAGCAACAGCAGCAACATTATCATCATCATCATCATCATCAGCAGCAGCAGCAGCAGCAACAGCAACAGCAGCAGAATCAAGAGCCTAACACATATAAATATATAAAACAAAATATATATATATATATATATATATGTATATATATATATATATAAATATATATACATGTATATATATATATATATATACATATATATATATATATATGCACGCAACAACAAGAAAAACAACAGCAGCAGCAGCACCACTAGAACAAGCCAAAGC